GAGATGGTCGAGTACCTCGGGCACTTTATTTCTCATGAGGGCGTTAAAGTGGACCCAAGGAAGGTCGAAGCGATGGTGGGGTGGCCGAAGCCCGCGAGCTTGACGCAGTTACGAGGGTTCCTTGGTCTTACGGGATATTATCGCAAATTCGTGAAAGACTATGGAACCATCGCGAAGCCACTCACAGAGATGACAAAGAAGGGGGCATTCAAGTGGACGGAGGCGAGCGAGAAGGCTTTCGAGGAGCTGAAGAAGGCCATGACGACCACGCCCGTGCTCGCAATGTCGAGGTTTGATGTGTTGTTCGAGATTCACTCGGATGCGAGCGATATTGGAGTCGGGGCGGTTTTGGTGCAAGAAGGACGACCCTTGGCCTATCTCAGCAAGGCACTCGGGCCGGCACGCTTAGGGTTGTCCGCGTACGTAAAGGAAATGCTGGCCGTGGTCGAGGCTGTGCGCGTGTGGAGGCCGTATTTACTTGGTCGACACTTTTGGATTGTCACGGACCAGCAATCGCTCAAGCACTTGCTCGAGCAAAGGATCGTGACGCCTGAGCAGCAGAAGTTTGTGTCCAAGCTAATGGGGTTCGACTTCGAGATAGTGTATCGGCCTGGTCGCCAAAACTCCGTGGCCGACGCATTGTCTAGGCGAGAGGATGTTGCGGAGCTCGACGCAGTGACGGGACCGACGTGGGCTGTTTGGGTTGAGCTTCGGAAGGCGCAAGATGAGGATGCACATTGCCGGGACGTGATCGAGAAGCTAAACGCGGGACATGGCGAGGACGAGGACCATGACATGCACGATGGCTTGCTCCTTTATCATGGTCGAGTCGTCGTGCCCAAGGCGGGATCATTACGCGAGGAAATTATCCGACACTTCCATGACTCGAAGTTTGGAGGGCACTCCGGAGTGTTCCGGACGTGGATGAGGATTGCGAGCACTTTTCATTGGCCAGGGCTGAGGGACGATGTGCGCAACTACGTTGGGCGGTGTGATGAGTGCCAACGCACTAAGGCGGACGCACGTCGACCAGGCGGGCTGCTCCAACCCTTGCCGGTCCCCGCACGTATCTGGGAGGACATCACCATGGATTTCATCGAGTGGTTGCCACTCTCGAATGGGTTCAATGGAGTCATGGTGGTAGTCGACCGTCTTACCAAGTATGCGCATTTTATTCCACTTACTCACC